GCATAGGGTTCATTATTGAGTTCCTGCGGTTGAGTATCATAATTGAGGGGGGTTTATAATTGAGTTCCGGAGATCGGGTTTTATAATTGAGGGGGGGATTATAGTTGCCAAGTTAACATTATCCTGGAGGAACCTGAAGCAGTGAAGCTGTTGTGCAGGTGCTCCTTTGATATCGAGTTTCAGCAGGGCCTGAGCTTAGGCCAGATGCATGTGCCGGCCCACTTCGCTCCGACATCAGTTGCCTTGTCAAATGCGAAGGTGACAAAAACACAGTACATCCCATCCTTTATTGGCTTCTCAACAACCTTGATGCCTTGAGAGTCTGGGCTGCAGCGAAAGGGTGGGGCCTGGTAGGGACAATGCCCTGCCGATAGGGGGTAGATCCTTAGACTGTCGATGTGGACACGGTGTGGCATGCGCGATGTGTGGCATGTGGAAAAACTCCGGAGTCCGATTCAAGCTGACACTCTGTCTAAGAAAAGCGTGCCTACTTGGCGAAGTTCTGCATGAATCTGGAGGCCGGAGCATTCACTTGCGGTAACTGAATGCTTGAAATCGTCAGTCAAAGTCGAAGTTGAGACCAGTTGCTGCAAGCTTCAGGCTTCAAGAAAGGAATCAGCGATCAAACTGGAGTGTGGCAGGTTCCGGAGGAGTTCCTGCGAGAAGAGCAGGTCTTCTCCGCGTACCAGAACTACAAGGTGGGACTCGAATATCCGTGGGATCATGAAAGGAGGTGCTCGTCGCTTGAGTCACACTGCTCTGAAGGAGCTGCAGTCCCAGTTCAAGGCAACGCACTCGCACGTGGAGCAGGACTGGGCTTCTTTACACGGTTCTGAACAGACATGATGCGAGACCTGCAACCGCGCTGTATCTGGAGCCTGACAGGAGCGACAAGGTCGCATGAATCCTGTGGACCTGCAGCGAGAGGCACAGTGTAGCGCGGAGGTGTACTGAAGCTCCACCCTCCGCTTTGACGTCGCATTCCGAAAGGTGCAGCAGCTCGATGCAGAGCGTGAGCAGCTTGCGCAGAAGATCCAGCATCTCAAGGTCGGGAGAGGGCAGCTGCAAGAGCTGTAAACAAAGCAGGGTTCAGTGGTGGTCGTCGTGGTCGTGCTGTTGAATCTTCGGTGCCGTGGAACACAGCCAGCCGAAGGCGAAGACCGAACGAGATGAGGGCTTCGCTACGCTGCTGGAGGCTGGCTGCCGTAGGTGCAGTATTGCGCAGTTGCTGATGGAACCCGAGGCGTGCTTTGTTGCGACCTTCCGATTGCTTTCAGGTGACTTCCATGCTCCGAAAGGAGCAGGAGGAGGAAGCCCGACTAGCGGAAAAGCTGGCCGAGCAGAAGTACCAGCACGTCCCTCAGAGTGCCTGACAGGGTCGATCAGAACATCCATCATCCAACACAGGGCTAGGAGCAAACGAGTTGGTGGTTTAGGTCAGGGTCTCCCACAGCAGTCTTTCGTTCCTAATTGATCGTCGAGCAAGGGTTGCTTCGACTGAGCATAGCCATCTCACACGGACTCAAGGTTCAGGCTCTCAACACGAAGCTTTCAGAAGGGGCGCTACCGTACGATGCACCCTGGAGAGTGTGCCACTGCCGTGCCGTCGCTCAGGCTCGAGCAGACGGAGCCTGGGCGAGCTTTGGGGGGGGGCTTGAAATCGGAATCCACAGCTCCGGGGTACGTTGCTTGCCGGGACCGGGTCCTCTTCTAACTTGTACAGCAAGTTGTCGTTGTCAAGGAGCAACTTTACATCGAGCGGTCTGCTCGCTTGCGTGAGATGCGAGAGGCTGGCACCTGCTCTCCAATCTCGGTCAGTCGGCCCGGCCATGCTTTGGCAAGCAGTGTGACGAGGCTGCGCTCCACGAGGGTGAAGGCAGCGCAGAGGTCATGCTGAAGATGCTCAGCGCCGAGGCGGGGCCACGGCAAGTTCGAATGCAAGCTTGCGTCCCAGAGTTGCGTGTGCAAAGTCTGTCAGGTCGTCAAAAGCAGGGAGGCCTTGGCACGAGTCAGCCAGATGCCCAGAACGACTCCTTTTATGACGGTTTTGGCTTTAAGTTTCGAGTAGAACATGCGGGTTACAATCGTGCAAGACAGTTAGGAAACGACACTTCCAATGAGCTACTGTTCCATGCAGCTTTGCAATCAACTGTCGAACCAGGAACGCAAGTAAATGCGTGGAGTGCCGGTATTGGATCATGAGAATGCTTTCAACGACCGAGCCGGCTTGTGGGTGGACAGAGCCCATTCTCGTGGACATAAACGACGTCTGCAGCCTGAAACCAGACGCCCGCAAACTACGCTTCGTCTCCATAGCATAGCGCACCGCCAAAGGTAGGGCTTGAAACGGAACCCCGAAGCAACACTGAGCCTGATTTTATGTTGCGTCAGGGAAGGAGTCCGAGGAGAAGATGGACCGTCTCCGGGAGTTGGATTCGGCCCTCAGCGAGCCTCCGGTGCCACACTTGGGCAGCTGAAGGGCGTTTCGCACGCATGTGTGTGTGTGTGTGTAAGAATTTTTTTTTTGCACAACATGACTCTTGCCGTGGTTCTTCTGGGTTGCAGGTAATGCAGATACGAGCCCAGCAAAGGGCTCTGTTTTTTCTAGGGTGGAATGCGGGCTGCAGAGTTGTTGCTTTGCGAATGCTAGTGCGAGTGGGCAGTGTCGTGTTGTGATCAAGCGTAGCACTTGTACCCGGCCCAACGTAGATGTGTGCATACAACACTCTTTACCCGGAAGCTAGCTGAACGCCTGTGTTTGCGCACTGCTGGTTTCGCTGAAGAGATTGGTGTGCTGTTGGAACAGCCTGGGGGAGCAACGTTCCTGGTCCAGTGTAACACTATAAACTCTGCAGGCGCGTTTTCTGTGTTTTGTGCGACTTGATGTATTCTCGCAGTGATGCTTCTACGGCTACCACTGCTTCTTGTAAGCGCTGTAAGCCTGTACAGAGTAGAGCAGCAGCTGCTGCAACTAGACTAACTTCATCAGATGGCTTCACTCTGGCCCGCATGATTCAGCGCAAGCCACGAATGTAATGCTTGTCTTTGCACGGAAGGTGACCAAGATGGACATCGATAGCCTCGAGGCGACAACTCCGCATCGTCACTGAACGAGCGTGCCTGACCGTCATAGTGAAATGTCAGGGCGAGATCCAAGCCATGCAGAATGAGATCCACTCCCTCGAAGAGAAGGTGAATGAGCAGAACCAGGAGAGAGTTCAATCTTTTCCTGTTATGTTTGGGTTTGCAGCTGGGTGTCGGCGACATCTCATGGCAACTCCGATCCTCTGTACAAATAGCACTGAGTGGACGGAGTTCTCACCACAAAACGATGATGTCTTGAGCAACAACGTGTCTGAAGGTGCAGGCCAACAACTTATGTCCTTTTCACAACAAGTCCATCCTGATCTGGGAGCCTTGACGTGATTGCCGATGAAGAGAATCCGATTCCCGCTATAGAAAGATGTGCTTTCAAGAACTCCACCTTTCAAGAACTCCACCATGCAATTGGCAAGCTAGTTGAGCAGATGGAGTCCACTCCGAACCAAGAAAGTTCCTACTCGTACCCGAAGTCTTCGTCCGTCATGGTCAGGGAAGATGCAATGCTGTGGCAAGGGATTGTTGCAGGGTCCAGTCGAATCCAAGGACAAGTGTTGTTTGAGTGGTTGACGCCATTCTGCAGCCGAGCATCGACACTTGCATGGTTTCCGAGACCAATGCGCGTCGTCTTAGCATCTTTTCTTTTCCACTTCGAGCAAACAGCTTTTGTCCTGGTCTGGAGTTTCGCGTGTAGCATCATATCTGCAGCGTTTCAAGCTGCAACTCGCAGACTTGTGTGTTCCGAAGTGGGGCTTGTCAATGTCCATAGCCACAGCCTTGTTGTGTGCTGTCGACCGGTGTGAGCAACTGACTTGCGTCTGCGACCACAGTGCGAGGACTCGCGACTAGCGGTGTACAAGCAGCAGGCTGGTCATGAGCTGTGGTCTGGGGCTGCCGCGGCTGCCGCTGGACGGACCTTCCTGAGGCAAACCTCGTCGCCAAAAAGAAGGAGGCTGTCCTGAAGGCCGTGTTTTCGTGGAGAATCAGAGCCGAAAGTAAGTAGCGTCACGATGGAACAAAGTGTCGTGCTGCAGGACAAGAAGATGTTGGAGGACGAGAGAGACAGTCTGAGCAAAGATTTGTCGACGAAGGCACCGTGCCAGGGTACGTGGAGGTTCATCTGCAAGAATAAGCACGGCGTGTCACGAAAGCTAGGCAGCTCTTCAAGAGCTTGTTGTCGGTAAGAAAGAAGTCTCCGGCTAAGAAGACATGCGGGCATTGAGGTCTGATAAATGGTACTTTGAGGTCCCCACACAACCTCTTTGCGGCCTGATCTTTCAGGCAGAAGGTCCCCGCAGCCCCCGCACCTGAAGCGTCTGGTCCCGCCCCTCCCTTCATAGGGGCCCCGCTAAAACCCCTCCTTATCTAGCACTAGCGGTACTACCAAGCACGCGGTCTCCTCCTACTAGTGCATACCGCAAAAAGAGAAGCACCAAGCCTTAGTCCCACTAGCTTTCGTGGCCGGGATGAAGTTTCGCTTGCAGCATATTGTGGCATAGGCCACTTCGAAATGACGTCCAAAGTGCACCCTCTCAGTACCTAGCCTTGCACAGCTTTTGCATGTCTTGTCCTGCTCAGGAGCGAGAATATGAGCAGATGAAAGGCGCCTCATGCTACAAAGCAGGTTGTTGATATTGTTGTGGCGCAGAGGTGTCTGCATACCGTCCCTACAACTCAGGCCATAAGTTCATGAAGCGGGAAGACTTCAAGACCTACGCGGCCTCACTCAGGGACAAGTCTGCCAAGTTCAAGCTCAAGAAGGTCGGACTTGCCTCCGTAGGTTTGGAGTTGGTGGATGTTCGTGGATTCGATGCCTTTGTCGCCGTTTGACAGGCTGAGCTCAGCGAGCTTAGACACGAAGTGGCGGTGCGCACTGGTCAAGGGACGATGACATCCTTCCCACAAAATCGGAAACTGTGGAACAGTGGAAGGGCTTTCTTTCGCGGTGATTGCAGCAGTGACGAAGGGACCAAAAAGTTGGCGCTGCCAGGTACTTCAAAGGACCGAGCAGATCTTGCAGTCGAAAGACCCAACTCCCGCCGGGCCCGGCATCGGCTTGTTTTCCCTGCACAATCAGAATCAGTGTCTTGTAGTTTTCACGGCTGCAAACAACTGGGTCTCGTGAGATCACTCCTATTCACAAAGTTAGGATCAGAAAGACGACAGGAGTAGCGGATGGAATTGCTGACCCTTCTCTTTTCCTAACTCCGAGCTCCTAGGACTTTTCGGTTCTAGTGCTCGAGCAAAGCTTTGCAAGTGTTTCAGGTTCCACGTGGGTGTCGGGTGAACAGTCTGATTCCGAGGAGGCAGCAGCGTTTCGCCAACCGCGGATGTCATTCGTATCGTAACCGTTTGGCATGAGGGTTGGGTAGCGCGCACTTCCAGGCTGGCCAACGGCTAGACTTTGCACAGTTTCTCGTCTTCCATCGCCTCAGTGTCGATGTACACTGAGACCTTCTCGAGGATTCAGCACGTCCAAGTCGATGTGGACGCTTCGTTTTGTCTTACGAAGGGGCACGTTGTGTTGACTGCAGAGTGGACGGAACGAGTTTTTTCCACGGTCGGCGGGAAAGCCCTTTCTGCTAGCCCTTTGTTCGTGTCACACCGCGTGAGTTCGGAAGCCAGGCTAGTTGAGACGGAGCAGATGCTCGAGAAGGCATCCGTTGAGAAGTCTCAGGCTGGGCTAGTAAGACTGCGTCAGAGCTGGCTTTTTCAAGTGGCAAGCAGCAGCACCCCGAAGGTAGACCGGGCGAAGGGCAAGACTCTTGATGAGATCTCGGCCATTGTCCGTCCCTTGAGACGGCTTGTGCATAGGTGTTCTTCTCCGGCTCAGGATCGTTCTCTGTGCCATATGCTGGGAAAGCAGGTTGTGTGTTTGTGGGTACTTGCGCTGCTGTGCTTCTCTTGCTTCTGGCGCCGAGGTCCAAAAAATCAATGCTCAGCTCAAGGAAAAGAAGAACAAGCTGGCCCCACAAATCAAGGCTTCCCATCTGCACTATACGTTTTTCCTCACAGTGGGACTCGGTCGGAGCTTGTGCGGGCTTTTGTTGGCTTGTTCTGTGGGCATCATGCAGACATGAAGTTGAGGCGCTCCGGTCGATCCGGCAGAGCTTCCAGCAAGTGGAGGCACCTTCATCTTGAGTTGCGCACTGCGTGAACCAACAAGCATCTCGTGCCGTAGGTCAAGTATTTGGAGAAGAAGGGCCAGTACGACCAGGCAGTTCTCGTGAGTCGTCCTTGCTTCTTATTTCTTACGAGAACACCCTTGCTGCGAGTCACACATGAGGCGAAATCAGCTGTCGATGCTGACCTTTCCAAAGTCGCAAGTGATGCCGCAGCGTCAGCCAGGGTGCGTCCCGTTTGGTTTGAATCCACGTCTTCCATGTGCGCGCTTGCCGAAAGCTCAGCCGAGCATTCACCAATCTCAAGCGACTGCGAGGTTGCACAGCCATGCAAAGTGTCCTAGCCGTAAACGCCACTTTAAAGCGGGGGGGGAGATGAGCCTTGCAAGCGCCCTTGTCCCGTTCAGCAACAGCCAGTTCTGGGGAGAACATACGAAGCGGAGAACGAGTCGTAGCTTTCGGACTTTGTGGCCCTCGGAGCCGCCGGAGAGGAGCGCCCCACGAGCCTTTCCAGTGCCGGCGGCCCTGATGCCCACGCGTCGGCCATGGCATCCGCTGGGTACAGGCACAGCAGTGGCAGGGTGTTCATGGTCTTGCTTAGTCTTGCTTCTATTTCTCTTCGCCAGGCGTGCCAGCTCCACTCTTGTGGAGGCCGTTCGGAGAGCTGGACGAAGGCAAGAGCTTTCTTGGATATCGTTTCGGCAGGCCAGCAACTATGACGCCAGCTCGATGCCGAATCGATCCTTGACAACCCCAGTCACTAGTCTGCATTCGCCCATGTTGGGGCAGCTGCACCGTCGTGTTGGTGATTTCAGTGTGGCTTTGAACATAGAGCACTCAGTGGCCACAACTGAGGCCGACTGGAGGAGAGAAGAGGATGGCGACACAGATCCAGAGGAACACTCAGATAGCGAATTCATTGTGACAGGTGACCCGGCCTATCGGAGCATGTGTGTTGCGAGAAATGACATGCCAGATCGGATAAAGATTCATTGTGCAGCGCTGCTGCACGGTGATCTGCAGACAATCGCAAGATCGCACAAACTGAGGTGAGATCGCCAACCGAGCAATCACCCTGCCTAGCTTGACAGCCAAGGACGGGTTGGGAACCTTCTCCCGGGCCCTAAGCAGTCGGTCCAACTTGAGACTCGGAAGCTTCTGCTAAGGAACTGGTGCCCAAACCAGAGCCGAGAGCACGTCCAACTTCCCTAAGCCTGTCATTCCTTCACATATGTCAAGTATTGCGATTGCCCTTGCAGAAGCTGATGGAGATCTTTCCGCAATACGACGATGGCTTCCGCCCAGGCTCATGGAGATCCTGAAGCTTTCGCAGCAGACTATGTCCAACTTGAGCGTTCGCCGGCGCAGGCTTCGGTTCTCCGTATCGCCATGGTCGAAGACCGAGCAAAAGCCGACGGCAGCGGGAAAAGGTTCTCCAGGATCTGGCAGAGCGGCTCCACCACAACAGCTTCGCTTTTCGGCGCATCTTTAGAAGTGTTTCGCAGATCCCGAGAGTTGTCATCCACGGATCCGGCCAACTCCGTGTGCTTCTGATCTGAGGACTTCGTGGCTGAGCGTGGCTTGTACCAAGCTTGGGCGTGGAACCGACGTTGATGGGAATGTTGGTGCTAGCAATGCTTGTAGCATCACAGTGCTAGTCACTGCTAGTCACTGATAGTCTTCGTCGTCGCCGTCATCGTCGCAGTCGCAGGCCTTTCAAAGCATTTAACCGTAAGGATCACTGTGCCGTTCATCAGTATCATGATATGGTGGTCGTCATCATTTGGGCTGTTGCCGGTCACGTGGTTGTGGGTTTGATCATCAGGATGTCGGCTATGCAGGCTGTCATTCTGGCTAGCCGAGTCTGTGCCCTCGTCATTACTAGCAGGCATCTTACCGCATACGTGATACGTGCAAAGACGCTCCCATGGCTAGATCAACTATACTTACATATTTGTATGTACATGCATGCAGAATTACATGCAGCATTACATGCATGTATGCACCTCTCTCTCTCTCTCTTTCTCTCTATACTGGTACCGTGCGTTTTTGGGCTCTCTGAGGTGAGGCCGCTGCGGCGGCGGCCGCCAAAGCTGCAGCAGCGCCCGGCGGTTTTCGTGCAGAGGACACGGAAGCATTGCAGTGACACGTGCATGATCCTTTGGGTCGCGTAACTCGGCTTTATCTTTGTACTAAGAGCGTGTTGCACGCATTTCCTGCTTCACGACATTCATAGCTTCCGTTGCACATACACAGAGCTTGTGGGGTGTGGGTTCTGCAGCAAGGCCGCAGCACTCTGTGTTGGATGCTCCTCGCCCACACGCGTCAAGAACAAACGGTATGATAGTAACATCGTGGGGTAGATTCGACAGAATTCTGCTGGCTGCGGAAGCGTAGACCCCGGTATACTGGTACGACACCATCCGAATGGCTGCCTTCTGAGAATACCCTTCTTTTGGATTTTTCACTGCGTTCTTGTCTGGCATGCGTTCCAGCTATGTGTCGTTTCCCTGCAGATCGTTTGATGTTCTGTAAGAATGCCTCCACGATATCTATCCCGTTCACAACCAGTCTCAGCGGTTGTTGCAGGAGACGGTCATTATCTTTGACTGGGATGATACGCTGTTTCCTACATGGCTCCCCGGCCCCTCATGGGTTACGGCTACGGGAATCCCTCAGTCTTCCTGAGAAACCCGCATGGCTGGTCAGATGCAGGGCAGCTTTGCACTAACGAGGACCAACATCTTACTGAGACCTGACTCGAGTTCCGCAACTATCTAACACAGGGCTGTGTGTTTTGAGCCTGCAGCTGTTGCAGTGCATGCCAGACGTTTTTTGGAGTTGTGTGTCCCTCGTGATCGCCGTAAGTCGAGGTTTGTCACAGAGGTGGTCAACCCCTGCCTGGAAGATCCGCAGTGCGAGCAGCTACCTGCCACCAGCCCATTCCTTGAGTGCCTCCAGAGCCAAGGGGAAGCAGCACCTTTGCTGATCTTCCAGAGAGGTCCAGGGTCTTCTGAAACCATCTTTCGCGGTGTGTTCCGATCCCGCAGATGACATTTGCTCGCAACTGTTAGGATGGCTTGAAAGTGGAGGTGCGTTCTTGTTCAAGCATGTAAGAAGCAAATGCAGAACCCTAGTAGTCGCGTCTAGAATGTGTACGAAGCCATATATGACTCGCGGCGATGTTAAGCATGCAGTATTTGATTCGGAGTGTTTTCAGGCGTTTCATGGGAATGGAGACGCGTACCTGAACCACACAATTGGTTTTCGGAGCGCTAATGGCTTTTGACGGTTCTTTTCCCTGCCTCGTTCGGATTTGCGTCTCATCATGGCCTCAGGGTGGAGGTTGCCCACAACGTAGTCCCAGACCTCTGATGCTTGGTGGGTTGGGTCAGACATCAGGATGTTTTTCGGATGCTAAAACCAAGAGCATGTGACTCTCATAAATTCCGACGACGACGTTGTTTGGGACCGTGCGTGGCGAGCCATCAAGATCAGTGTGCAGGGCGCATGTTTTCTGGTTCATCGCACGTGTAGTTGGTGGATTTCGGATCCAATTAATGACCGTTGATGTGTGCTCACGAGGGAAGACACATGCAACAACGTTGCTGGCCTCACCCGAGCCTCGATGCGCGCGAACAAAGCTCGGTATGTGTCGGGGATGGGCAGTCCTGAAATCCGTTCGCCTTTTTACGTTTCAGGTCGTTCGGCATGTTGTTTTGTCGCCGGTTTCCTTTCTCTTTCCAAATGCTCTCTGGCACAGCGATTACAGGCCCAAGCTGATCTCTGCTGTTGTGTTGAGAGCAGTCGACGTGATGCGTTGGTACGTTGAAATTGGTTGTTTCACGTTGTCTTGCACCGGCGCATGTAGTTTTCCGAAGTTGGCGTTTGCATGCGCTGACCATTTGCGTTGAGATTGTGACGAAGCTACTACCCGGCAACCGAGGTCGAGCGAATCCTGCGTGAAGCGCGAGTCAATGGTCGTGTAGGGATCGTTACTCTGGCTCAGCGCCCGTGGGTGCCTCTTGGCAGATAATCATGCAAAGCGAAGATCGAACGCAGAACGTCAAGAGCCGCGATACATTTTTTTGCTTTTCACGGCGTGCTTCACCGGCGTCAGGCTAAATTCTGCCGCAAAGTACCTCCCAAATCTGGCAACTTGGCTTGGCTGATGGACCGAGCCCTGCCTACCTCCTGACCCAACTGCCTGAACCTTCGCCAAGGACTTGCCAGCCTTGCTGGACGAGCTTCAAATCCCAGTCATTTACGCCCGGGAGTGCTTGAAAAAGTACTTGATTCAGGAGCACCGGCATAGGTAGTGTGAGTACGATGATTTGCTTGTGCGTATTTCTTGTATAAGTCATTTTCCCCACAGGTTTGACACAAGACTGTGAGAAAGTTGGAGACATGATTGACGTGATGGGGTCATCCAGCTTTACCTGCGACGCCAGGGCGGAAGCGAAGATGGCGTATGCTTGTGGACCCTGGCGAAGCAGGCAGCCATGACGAAGGCGTGCTCTCGGCCTTTGCATCCTTTGTCCTGGAGTGAGGGACGCCAGGGCGCGGATGTTGCGAGGTGCTCCGGAGATTGTACGGCAGGGAGACAGCGTGGATGAACGTACTCTCAATCGGAGACTCGACAGTGGAGCGCACCGCCATCACGGAAGTCATGTGGTCCTCCCAGTACGAGGCGGCAGCAACAGGTAGTGCATTCTCCAGTCAGCTTTGCGTAGAAACCTGCGAACAGAAGACAGAGAACCTACTGGCGATTTTCTTGCTAGGCCACCGAACCAGCATCAACGTACCTTCGCCCAATGGCCGTCATTTCGAGTAAACACTACTTTTATGAGATTCTTTGATGGACAGACTGTGACGATTTCAAATGATTATTTCTTCACTTTATCATCATTTTGATCTTCGTTTTGATCTTCGTTCCGTTTCAAATCTTCATTTCCATCTTCGTTTTGATCACCATTTTTTCTTCGTTTTCATCTTCGTTCCATTTCAAATCTTCATTTCCTTCTTCATTTGAAT